TTCAGTGTCTTCTTCTCCTCTGTTTAGTCCCTTATAGCAGGCCACATTCTGGCCTTTTGTTTCTGTCACTGATCTGAAATAAGCCTCCTCATTTCTTGTTTAACCCCTAATGCCATTTCTTAGCAATTCCAGTTTTCTTAGCAGGATTTTGATCCTGCTCTAACACGGAACTCGTCTTCTTTAGGAAGTGGAGTTAAAGGGACAAACTCTTTGCTGTCATAAGCTGGTAGATTTCTATTGAAATTTGCTCATTGACAGCACCATAGAATTTGCTCCAGAATTTCAATGATAAATGTCCCAAATTGTGCGGGATATAAGTTCTAGGTTTGTTTATATTATGTTTTATAAATATTTTCTGCTGGTATGGAAGCATTTATGTACGTGAAATGTTCAGAAACCCCAATTCACAAGGTCACTTTTTGGGCCAGCAGCCAAATGTTTCTTGACATGAACAAAGCATAATTTCAGTCACTTGCATACTTAACTGCTTGACTGAATAAACCACAAGGGGAATGATGTGTAAAAACAATGCAAATGAAATAGACAAATATTTACATTCGTGTCAATACAAATTTGTAAACCCAATTTCAAGATAATGGGCCAGATTCTCAACTGGTGTTGGGGGTAACTCTGTTGATTTCACTGGAGTCTTATACCAGTTGAGGGCCTGGCTCAGTGCATCTAAAGGAGTTTTCTAAGGCCTTGTCTACACTAAGGATGTTAAGGACTAGTCGACTAGTACACTATCCGATAAGCAAAAGTGTATCCGATAACTGCAAAAGCTAATTGGATAGTCCAGTCTAGTAGTCGATTCCACCCCCCCTTGCTGCCTCTATTATATAGAGGCAGCAAAGGGGGACAAGAGGGACAAGCTATTATATAGAGGCTGCAAAGGGGGACAAGAGGGGATACAGCGCTGCACAATTGAGCTCAGGCTTTGTGCAGTGCTGCACGTTTTAAACGCTGCCGCTGGTTTTCAAAGGGGCAGCACTGCATGGAGCCCAGGGGTCAGCTCCGTGCAGTGCTGGCCCTTTGAAATCCTGAGGCGGCGTTCAAAGGGGCAGCGCTGCACAGCTGATCCTGGGCTCAGCTATGTGGCGCTGCCCCTTTGAAACTCTGCTACAGTGTTTAAAAGTGGCAGCACTTCGTGGAGCCTGGGATCAGCTCGGGACTCCCCAGCTGATCCTGGGCTCCATTTCCACAGAACCCAGGATCAGCTGGGGAGTCCTCAGCTGACCCCGATTCCTGGAAAATGCTGCGTGGAGCCACATGCTGACCCTGGGTTCCATGTGGCATTTCAAAGCATCAGCACCACATGGAGCCTCGGTCAGCATGTGGCGCTGCTGCTTTGAAATGCCATGTGGCGCCCCACGCTGGCCCAGGCTTCATGAGGGTGCTTCCGCTTCGGTCAGCATGTGGCGCTGCTGCTTTGAAATGCCATGTGGCGCCCCACGCTGGCCCAGGCTTCATGAGGGTGCTTCCGCTTTGAATGCAAAAGAGCCCTCTATGGAGACTCTTGTACATTTCAAAGCTGGCACCCTCGTGCAGCCCAGAGTCAGCAGGACTTCCTGCTGGCCATGGGCTGCACATGGAGTTCTGCATTCCTCCTTTGAAATGTACAAGAGCCTGAACACTGCCTGAGCTCTTGTACATTTCAAAGGGGGAATGCGGAAGTGCCTATCGATTAGTCAAGTAGCTGATGGAAATTCCATTGACTACGTGACTAGTAAATTACTTGCTATTTAACATCCTTAGTGTACATTACTGTAATAAGTTGACTGAAGTTATGCTATGTCTGCTAGATCCACTTACTGCGGGGCCTGTATTGCGCAATGTCAACAGGAGATGTTTTCCCCCGACTTACCTTACTCTTCTCAGGGAGGTGGAGTACACAAATAGATAGGAAAATGCTCTCCCATCGATTTTTTTTTTTTTAGAATGTCTTCATCAGACCTGCTAAATCAACAGCTGCTGCACTAATTGCAGCAGCACCAATTTACCAGTAAATTTAGATATGGCCTAAGTTTCAACAGTTACCATGATGGCGATAATTTAAAAATAATGATGGTGACTATGCAGAGGTATTTGTGAAAAATATTACAATAAAAGCAATGATCTGCAACTAGATTTATGGCTAACATAGGGTGTGTCTAGACTACACCTCTCTGTTGACAGAGAGATGTAGATTAGGAACATCAAAATTGCTAATGAAGTAGGGATTTAAATATCCTGCACCTCATTAGCATAAACTATGGCTGCTGGTTTTTTCAAAATGGAGTTTTTTTTAAAAAAACGGCAGTCTAGACACGGATCTGTTGTGTATTCCTCAAAAAATGAGGTTTACAGGATCTGGTGAAAAAGGGTTTTTTCCAACAGATCCACATCTAGACTGCTGTTTTTCAAAAAAACCTCCTTTTCAAAAAAAGCAGCAGCCATGTTTATGCTAATGAAGCATGGGATATTTAAATCCCTGCTTCATTAGCAATTTCGATGTGCCTAATCTACATCTCTCTGTTGGCAGAGAGGTGTAGTCTAGACACACCCAGAGTGTGTTTGTGGGTTTAATTCTGACTGGTTAGTGCTGAATTCATGCAATGACCATGAAGTCAAAGTCAGAGCTACTCTTTTATAGATTTGTTTACATGGGGAAGATTTTTATATGTATGGAAATGACTAATGAGGTCTGTCTAGTTTTTAGCATTTATATTAAGCATAGGATATCATATTACAAATAATAATAGGTGACATAGCCATTTAGTTGGGGTTGATCCTGCTTTGAACAGGGGGTTGGACTAGATGACTGCCTGAGGTCTCTTCCAACCCTCCTCTTCTAGGATCCTATGATAGCCACTGAACTAGTACTGAGCACAGAGTTCGTCAAGGAGAAATTACAAGTTTCTGATGACGCTATTATCTAAACAGTAATGAAATTCGGTATCATCTCTATGTAATTTGAAAGTGCATCTTTTTGTGTGTTTCAGGTTATGCAAGACAAGATAATATGCCTTCCAAAAAGAATACAGCCTTCACAGAATCACTCTCACATTCCTAATGGGTCTAATGCAGTCCCAAATACTACCCCGCTTCCTCCACCCAAACCATCCACTACTCCTGCCACTGTTGAAATGAAGGGACTAAAGACTGATTTAGACCTTCAGCAGTATAGCTTTATAAACCAAATGTGCTATGAACGTGCCCTGCATTGGTATGCAAAGTACTTCCCTTACCTTGTCCTTATACATACTCTGATCTTCATGCTGTGTAGTAACTTCTGGTTCAAATTCCCTGGATCAAGCTCAAAAATTGAACACTTCATTTCCATACTGGGGAAATGTTTTGATTCTCCCTGGACAACAAGGGCCTTATCTGAAGTGTCCGGGGAAGACTCAGAAGAAAAGGACAACAGGAAGAACAACATAAGCAGGTCAAATACTATCCAACCTAGCGCCGAAGGCACTTTGGTCAAGACACAGTCCTTGAAATCAATACCTGAAAAGTTTGTTGTTGATAAGGGGACAGCAGGGGCACTTGATAAAAAAGAAGGAGAACAGGCCAAAGCTTTGTTTGAAAAGGTGAAGAAATTCCGATTGCATGTTGAAGAAAGTGATCTGCTCCATGCTATGTATGTTCGCCAGACTGTACTTAAAGTTATTAAATTCCTTATCATTATTGCTTACAATAGTGCACTAGTTTCCGAAGTTCAATTTACAGTAGACTGTAATGTGGACATACAGGACATGACAGGATATAAAAATTTTTCCTGTAATCATACCATGGCACATCTATTCTCTAAACTTTCCTTCTGCTACCTGTGCTTTGTAAGCATCTATGGACTAACATGCCTTTACACTTTATATTGGTTGTTCTATCGTTCACTAAAGGAATATTCTTTCGAATATGTTCGTCAAGAGACTGGAATTGATGATATCCCAGATGTTAAGAATGACTTTGCTTTTATGCTTCACATGATAGATCAATATGACCCTCTTTATTCAAAGAGATTTGCTGTGTTCCTGTCTGAAGTCAGTGAAAACAAGCTGAAACAACTGAATTTAAACAATGAATGGACTGCGGATAAATTGAGACAGAGACTGCAAACAAATGCCCATAACCGGCTAGAGCTGCAGCTCTTCATGCTTTCTGGACTTCCAGACACAGTTTTTGAAATTACAGAGCTGCAGTCTTTAAAACTTGAAATAATCAATAATGTTATGATACCTGCAACCATTGCACAGTTGGACAGTCTCCAAGAGCTCTCATTGTTCCAATGTTCTGTGAAGATCCACATTGCTGCCTTAGCGTTTCTGAAGGAAAATCTGAAGATTTTGAATGTCAAGTTTGATGACATCAGAGAGCTTCCACATTGGATGTATGGGCTCAGAAATTTAGAGGAGCTCTACTTAATTGGCTCTCTAAGTCACGATATTTCCAAAAATATTACACTTGAGTCTTTTCGGGAACTTAAAAGCCTTAAACTTCTCTATATTAAAAGCAACATATCAAAAATCCCACAATCTGCTGTTGATGTTGCAAGTCACCTTCAAAAAATGTGTATTCATAATGATGGCACCAAATTAGTGATGCTCAATAACCTGAAGAAAATGGTTAACTTAACAGAATTGGAACTGGTTCATTGTGATTTGGAGCGCATACCTCATGCAGTTTTTAGCCTTCTCAGTCTCCAGGAATTGGATTTAAAAGAGAACAACCTCAAATCAATAGAAGAAATAGTTAGTTTTCAATATCTGAGAAAACTTACAATCCTAAAGCTGTGGTACAACAGTATAACATACATCCCAGAGCATATAAAGAAACTCACTAGCCTAGAACATCTTTTCTTTAGTCACAATAAAATAGAGGTTCTTCCATCTCACCTATTCCTGTGCAACAAAATCAGATACTTAGACTTGTCTTACAATGATATACGATTTATTCCACCAGAAATAGGAGTGCTGCAAAGTTTACAGTATTTTTCCATTACTTGTAACAAAGTGGAGAGTGTGCCAGATGAATTATACTTTTGCAAAAAACTAAAGACTCTGAAGATTGGGAAAAATAACTTGTCAGTCCTTTCACCTAAAATTGGTAATTTAGTATTTCTCTCTTCTTTGGATATAAAAGGCAATCACTTTGAAATTCTCCCGCCTGAACTTGGTGAGTGTAGGGCTTTGAAAAGGACTGGCTTGGTTGTAGAAGACGCTTTGTTTGAAACTTTGCCTTTGGATGTTAGAGAGCAGATGAAAGTTGAATAATTAATTTCTTTTACTCCATTTTACAGAAAGATGCGTCTACCAAATACACTATATAAATAATTTGATAGTCTAAATATGCCTTTATTGGTGTGTTTATTTTATTTTTTTCATTTGTCCTTTTGACACAAAACTATCTGTATAAACAAATGTGGAGTAAGGAATATGAATATATTTTTAAATAAAAATTTACCTGTATTTTTTCACAGTTTAAAATATTTTATGTTTATTTTGCCCTGCTAAAGAGTGACTGAAAAAATTATTTTCTATTGGCAAAAGCTAATGGTTAGATCAGTGGTTCTAAACCTCTTTGGCACCGTTACCCCTTAAGCTTAACCAATAAACCTAAATTACCCCTCCTTTTTAAAATGGCAGTAGACAAAAAGAAAATTATGATTAATTGTTTTCATTGTATTTTGTTTTCCCATACATTATGTTGAACAAAATTGAACACCTGTTCTATTTTAAATGTATTACCTCCTGAAATATGCCAAATTACCTCTCAAGGGGTAATTACCGCCAGGTTAAGAACCATTGGGTTAGATAAACTGTTTTTTAATTGAGGTTAAAAGGAGATGGCATGTTTCCAACTGTCTATCTAAGTATCATATTTTTAATAGATGAATGTATTTTTCCTGGGTCATTGTTAAACTGATTTTAGGATCTAATTTTTAGGGGCTGATCCTGTGAGATGCTGAGCAGTTTCAACCCCTGTTTTCATGAATGGGTTTGAAGGTGCCCAGTACCTCATGAAGCTTGACCTTGATTGAATGTCCTTTTGTTGAGACTTCACACATACCAACTATTCTCCCTAGTGGGAAAAGACATTTAGAAATGTTTTATAATATACAAGGGCTGGAATTTTTAAGGAGCCTAAAGAAATAAGGTGCACAATTTCCATTGAAAGTTAATGGATAGTTAACTCTGTCATGCCCCTCAAGAAATCTTAGCCTCCATTTCATGCTGTATGCTGAACAAAACATCTCTGTTGCCATCGTTCTTCAGAACTGAACTAGTAAGTCTATGATTTGCCAAGTGGTATAGGAACAGGGGTGAAAGTAAGTTAAATTTCTTACAGGTACTGTCATATTGCACCCTGCCCTCTTTAGGAAGGGGCTCAGGGCACAAGGTGGGGGTAGGTTCGGGGCTTGTAGTGTGGCTACCAAGCTGCCTGACAGCCAGATCCCTAGGGTTGGGTGGGGCAACAACCACACTGCCCAGCGGCCCTCGCTACAGGGCTGGACCTTGGATATGCTCTTGCTGTGCCACCCAGGGCCTGTGGCTGCTGGCTTGGGCCCACCAGGGCTGGGGCCTCGCCTTCCCAACCCCAAGCTGTCTGGCACTAGTGCTGAGGGCCCAGGGGTGGTGGTGGGGAGAATGGCTTGTGCTCTTGTGGGGGAGGGGAGCAAGAATGGGAAGAATCCGTTGCCCATGCCCAGTATGGGATCCTTCCCTGTATGGTGGCTGGCAACATCCAGAGCCCTGCCCCCAGCCTGCCACTCTCTTACTGGTGCACCAGCTTACTATCACCTTTGTGCAGGAGAGTCAATCCTGGCAGGATTCAAGTTTGAGATTTCCAAAAATTGCAGATGTAGCCTCCCACCTAGCATGAAGTTGAACAGAATATGTGTGACTAAGTCGCTGCTTTCTGCCAAGCAGAGCTGAAATACCACCATCCTCCAGTAGTGAGTGCCTTCAATTCCCATTGAATTCCCCCCCTGCCCTGGAGGGGCTTGGCATCTCATATGACTGAACTGTTTGAAACTCAGGGTTATTGCACTTAGCTTTGGTTTGTGAACCTTTTGACCAGGAAACAAACTTGCTTCCTGCAGTAAGAAGCAGTGCAGTGGGCTTGGTAGTGTATTACCAGGATGTATAGATTTTCAGAAACCAAATTAAATTTAAAAAAATAGAATATTAACATGTCACATCTCAGCATAGCAGAGGATGGTGGTGAAAGCCACATTTGTTTTAATTTCCCAGCTAGTAATTACATTGAAAATTGGACATTTGGAAGCCTGCTTTTTAAAATAATTTAATCCGCTGTAATAGACTGACATGATAGTACATCAGATTGGGAATTATACCAGCTAAAGCTACGTTAAATTATTTTTTCCTACTCTTGCCATTTGCTTTTTCATGGACAGGTCCGGCAGATCTTATCCATTTTAATTCTGTGTGTTGTTCAAAAGCTAATTTAAGCTTAATTGAAAATAATGGCTTTGAGTGTACATTTGAATCACAATGCAGGCACTGGATAATTGTTAGCAGATAACTAGAAATAAGTACTTCCTTTGAAGGGCAGACATGCTTTTTGTAATCTGCAGAGGCTTGGCTGCTAATTTTTAAAATTATGTGAAGCAATTACTAGGTGAGTGTCAGGAGTATTGCCAGTAAGGCTTGTGTGTCTTGCACTACAGTTAATTTAAGTTTTGGATCTTGGTACAAAAGCATGTTGTTGCTTTAAGAATCTGACATACGGGGCGGGTGACATGAAGAAAGATAAGATTTTTCCACATTAATCCAGGGTGCACAGTGTAGCCGAGTAAGAATGCTTGCCATAGTACCAAAGTCAGACTTACTTTTTCCATATGATTAACAGGAGATGGTTGGACATGAAAGAATCAACGCAAGCTTTTTTAATGGTTCTGTTTAGTGCTATACCAATACAGCTCTATTGCAAAAGCTATTTTTATTTATCTATGGAATGCATTTATAAATACTTTAAATGTGCTTCAGTTGGGTATGACATGGGAGAGAGAAATGCTTCATTGCTTGTATTAATATAAATATGTAAACCAAAGTGCTGTAGTTCCTGATGATTGTAAACTGTTTAAAATGTTCAAGTAATCAGTTAATATGTATAGATGTATCATTATCTTATTTAGATATGGGAGATTACATTAAGGTTGATAAAATCATGATTAATTTTGTGTTTGTTGTTGTCTCCCTTGTATACTGTGGTGTATATTCTGAATGGAAAAATTACACACACCTCGTAGCTAAAGTTTTGAAGGTCTGGCCTACACACTGTTTTTGTGCTGGTATAACTGTCAGTTAGGGATGTGGTTATTTACCTGTTGTATTTGTACCAGTGCAACCTCTAATGCAGTGGTTCTCAACCTTTCCAGATGCTACATATCTTTCAGGAATCTCATTTGTCCATGTTTCACCTCACTTAAAAACTACTTGCTTATAAAATCAGATATAAAAATACAAGTGTGTCCCAACACACACTAGTACTAAAAATTGCTTATGTTCTCATTCTTAGCATATAATTATGAGATCCATTGGAATATAAATATTGTACTTACTTTTTAATGTGTAGTCAGTATAAATAAGTTGTATGAAATTTTAGTTTGTACTGACTTTTCTAGTGCATTTTCTGTAGCCTATTGTAAAAATATAGAAGGGAACAGCTTACTCAGGAAGGATAGGTGGGGAAAAAAGGGAGGAGGTGTTGCCTTATGTATTAAAAATGTACACACTTGGACTGAGGTGGAGATGGACATAGGAGATGGGCGTGTGGAGAGTCTCTGGGTTAGGCTAAAAGGGGTAAAAAACAAGGGTGATGTCATGATAGGGGTCTACTACAGGCCCCCAGGTGGAAGAGGTGGTTGAGGCTTTTTTTAAACAACTAACAAAATCATCTAGAGCGCAGGATTTGGTAGTGATGGGGGACTTCAACTATCCAGATATATGTTGGGAAACTAACACAGCGGGGCACAGAATATCCAATAAGTTCTTGGACTGCATTGAAGACAACTTTTTATTTCAGAAGGTTGAAAAAGCTACTGGGGGGGAAGCTGTTCTATACTTCATTTTAACAAATAGGGAGGAACTGGTTGAGAATTTGAAAGCGGAAGGCAGCTTGGGTAAAAGTGATCATGATGAAATCATAGAGTTCATGATTCTAAGGCATGGTAGACGGGAGAATGGCAAATTAGAGACAATGGATTTCAGGAAGGCAGATTGTGGTAAGCTCAGAGAGCTAATAGGTAAGGTCCCATGGGAAGCAAGACTGAGGGGAAAAACAACTGAAGAGAGTTGGCAGTTTTTCAAAGGGACATTGTTAAGGGCCCAAAAGCAAGCTATTCCGCTGTGTAGGAAAGATAGAAAATATGGCAAAAGACCGCCTTGGATCAACCAGGATTGCATGATATAAGAATAAAAAAGGAGTCCTATAAAAAATGGAAAATAGGACAAATTACAAAGGATGAATATAGGTAAACAATACAGGAATGCAGGGGCAAGATTAGAAAGAAAAAGGCACAAAACGAGCTCAAACTAGCTACAGGCATAAAGGGAAACAAGAAGACATTCTATAAATATATTAGAAGCAAGAGAAAGACTAAGGACAGGTTAGGCCCATGGTCAGTGACGAAGGGGAAACAGTAACGGGAAACTTGGAAATGGCAGAAATGCTTTGTTTTGGTCTTCACCAAGAAGTCTGATGAAGGAATGCCTGACATAGTGAATGTAGTGGGAAGGAGGTAGGTTTAGAAGACAAAATAATAAAAGAACAAGTTAAAAATCACTTAGAAAAGTCATCAGGGCCTGATGAAATGCTTCCTAGAATACTCAAGGAGTGGATAGAGGAGGTATCTGAGCCTTTAGCTATCAACTTTGGAAAATCATGGACGACAGGAGAGATTCCAGAAGATTGGAAAAGGGCAAATATAGTACCTATAGAAAGGGAAATAAAAACAACCCAGGAAACTACAGACCAGTCAGTTTAACTTCTGTGCCAGGAAAGATAATGGAGCAAGTAATTAAGGAAATCATCTCCAAACACTTGGAAGATAATAAGGTGATAGGGAACAGCCAGCATGGCTTTGTAAAGAACAAATGTCAAACCAATCTGATAGCTTTCTTTGATAGAATAACAAATCTTGTGGATGAGGGAGAAGCGATGGATGTGGTATATCTAGACTTTAGTAAGGCATTTGATATGGTCTCGCATGATACTATCAATAAACTAGGTAAATACAACTTAGATGGGGCTACTATAAGGTAAGTGCATAAATGTCTGGATAACCGTTCCCAGAGAGTAGTTATTAATGGGAGTAACAAGTGGGATTCCACAGGGGGTCTGTTTTGGGACCGGTTCTGTTCAATATCTTTATCAATGATTTAGATATCGGCATAGAGGGTACGCTTATTAAGTTTGCAGATGATACCAAGCTTGGAGGGGTTGCAACTGCTTTGGAGGATAGGGTCATAATTCAAAATGATCTGGACAAATTGGAGAAATGGTCTGAAGTAAACAGGATGAAGAAGGATAAATGCAAAGTGCTCCACTTAGGAAGGAACAATCAGTTTCACACATACAGAATGAGAAGCACTTTAAAGACTAAGAAGATGGTTTATTAGGTGATGAGCTTTCGTGGGCCAGACCCACCTCCTCACATCCAA